ACAAAAAATTTTCTTTCCCGTACGTGGTAATAATAAAAAAATTTTTTTTCACCTCGGAATATAGTGTCCAAAATGTCATGTATCGTTCACAAAAGCTGATGGATGTAATAAAATGACATGTAGATGTGGTTACGTTATGTGCTATTTATGTAGAAAAGATTTACGACAAGAATCTTACGCTCATTGTAAGTCGATCTATGTTTTGAATTAATGTTTAAATTTTTTTAATGTGATATTGATATTGATTTAACTCCTTTTGATATTTACAGTTTGTGATCATTTTCGTCCTATACCAGGTCAAAAATGTAAGAAGTGTAATAAATGTGATTTATATAAAACTGAAGACGAAGAAAAGGTTATCAGGGAAGCTGCTACAAAGGCTCGTAACGAATTTTTAAAGTCTCATCCTGAGGCGAGGGATGTAAGTCTTTTAGAAAATACTTCTATCGGTCCTGTCGCTACTGAAAGTATGTATTCAAAATTTTATTTGTGAACATTTTATTAATTCTTAATTACTTTATTAATGATTTGATTTTTTTTATTTTTTATTTTATCTTTTTTTTTTTTTAAAAAAAAAAAGACGAAAAGTATATAAAAGAAGTTATTGAAAAAGCTATTGAAAAAGTTATTGAATATTTATTACCCTGATATATAAAATACATACGTTTATTTTAAAGTACCAATAATTTTAGAATTTCATTTCATAACAATTTTTTTTCATCTCTTTTAATTTACATAAAAAAAACAAAAAATGTTTGCATTTTTTTTTATAAAATTTTTTTTTTTATGATGTTATTATATAGTTATTTTTAATTAGTAACATTATTTAAAAACATTTAAAGTAAGTTTTTATTTTATAAAAAAAATAAATTTTTTTGAATAAAAATTTCTGTAAAATACAATTAAATATTTTGTAAATATTATTATTTAAATAAAAATATATATATTTTTTTTTTATTTATATAATTATAATTTAATTAATTATATTATTATTAAATTACAAATTTAAATTTATAATAAATCAATAAAATTGATAAATTTAAAACTTAAATTAATTAAATTAATTAATCTAAAATGTAAGTAGAGAATTATTAAATACTATACAACTTAATAAATTTGTCAGTTTGTCTGCCTATTTGTTATTTAAGTCAATGTGATTTTATTTACTACATTTATTTGTTATGCATATGATTGTATACCTTTTTGTTGATTGATTAAATTATTTGTGTTATAACTTATGATCATTTTATATTTATTACTCTAAACTTTCTAACAATTTATCTTGTATATAATAATAAAAAAATAAGTTTAATATATATTATTATTTATTAATAAATATTATATAAATAATAAAATTTTAATAAAATTAGTTTTTAAAAAAATCAAGTTATATAATAAAACTTATAATAAAATTATAATTAAATTCAAAATTCAAAATAAATTTATGATAATAAAAATAATTTTAATAAATATTATTACTTATTATTTCAAGTAAAATGACTTTATTATATTATTAAATTTGTTTTATTTCTTATAAAAAATCTTTTATAAAAATAAAAACTACTATTTTTTTTATTTTTAAATAATTCTTAATATATTATTTTAAATATTAAGCTAAAACTTTTAAATAAAGTTTAATCTAAAAATAGTTAGTTATATTATAATATCATGATAGAATATTTATTTAATATTTTAATCAATATTATGCAAAGTTATATATATATTATATATATATATAGGGGGTGGTCAGTAGAAAAGGGGGAAATCCACTTTTTAGTCAAAAATTTTTTTATTGGTTCACTCTGCTGATCATGGTCATGT